GGAAAATTCACAGTGGATCTTAAGCTATTAGCACTTTAATACCTATGCTTTGGTTCACTTTCATGACCATCTTATCGGGCAGCGGTTCACTGTTCTAAAATCAGCGGGTTCCTATAGTAGAAGCACATGTTAAGCGTATATTATAAACGTATAAATGTTTAAACGCAATACTGTTATGAAACCTGGTATACGTTGAAACGCAATTGTAGATATTTGTCTCAGTAGATTAATCAAATAATCTAATTATAAATATATTAACCATATCAGCCATAGACCGGATGTTACACCTCAGATTATACCAAGAAGCTGAATGGCGGTTTGGAAAATTCACAGTGTATCTTTTTGCATCGGCACACAATGCACACACAGATAAATACTACACCAAAAAAGAATGCGCTACAACAAAAGTGGGCGCAGGAAATATATGCATGGACGAACCCACCATGGGAACTCATACCTGATGTCCTGGACAAAGTAATTAAAGAGGCAACCAGCATCACGATATGTGTACCATACTACCCCTATGCAACATGGTTTCCAAAATTCTTGTCTTTACTGGAAGAATACCAAATGCTAGTGGAAAACACAAACAATACTTTCCTCAAATAAAGTAAGAAAGCTTGTGGCAAGACCCCATTGGGTGTCACATTAGTAGCAAAAGTAGGAGTGAATTCTCCGTACTTTGACCCAACGCGGGAACAACCTGCCATACACATTGCAGCATCAGAACCAGTTTACCTAAAAACTCGAACAATAGCACAACTTGGGACATTACACTCCTGAGGAAAAGGTAACAACATGTTCACAAGTTCATTGACAGATACATACCATGTCTCAAATATAAGATACACAAAAAGGAATTCCATCCCTTACAATCAATCACAGCCGCATTTCCAGGCGACAGAGTTCAAGTATTGTATTCCAACAGAGGACACACTTATGTGTTAGTATGGCTCGATGTACACTCATCGTGTGTCATATTACGTCCAATGATGCCGCGCACGCTAGTACCAATCATGTGTGAACATGGATTCCTACAAATCATTTGGACTGACCATGGCACTGAATACATTAACAACACACTTTCAAAAGTTGTTGAACAGGCCCCAATGCGACACCTAGTCTCTCGGCCGTATCAACCTAAAGTATTAGGCGCGAACGAACGATCACACAGAGACCTCATGCCACTGTTACGAAAATACGTTGAGCAAAATCCTGGTAACTGGTGTTCACGACTTCCAACACTAACAGACTACAACGAGCCAGTGACCGCACCCAGTATATCAGTTTCTTGGGAAGAGCGACTACAGAATCTAGAAGAAGCCATCAGGCCACAACTAGATAACAATGTTGCACTACCTGGACGCATGAATCAGACATCGCAGATGCGGATGTCATCACAACATACCGTCAACGCTACCGACGCAAACAAAGGCAGTCAAGGCCAAAGAAGCCAGCAACGACGAGCACTGATATAAGATCACCAAGCAACAGAAAGCGCACGAGGCGGGGGACCTAAGCAAGTCTCACTGATACCACGGGACACTTCCACCTTTCTCGCCTTGAAGCGTGCTCTCCTCTTACACCAGAGGGACAAGGACCAAAGACTCGGCTGTGAAAGCACCGTTGAGAAGCGTTTTCCAAAGCCAAGTTGAGAACAATCGAGAGCACCGGTCAAGACTGACTCCCATGAGCGTGGTAGAATGTAAGAAAAAAATACTGGTGGCAGGTTTTTCATCTTATGCCCCCTAAGAAACAAGTCTTTCCCTGTATACAAGCACCAACCTCTAGATAATCTAGTACTGTAAGATGTCACTTTCTACTCCTACGCAGGTTAAGAAGCATAAAGTTGGGGGGCTGTAGCATCTAGGGACCAGATTATCAAAAAGCCAATGCAAATCCCAAATCCCAGAATAATCAAATATTGAGTTTTGGAATTATGATTGGAATTTCTGATATTAGAGTCACCATAAATATTAGCGGTAGAACCGGTAAGCTATACCGGGACTCCACGTGTGAGAGAAACACTCAAGTAAATCCTGAGTTAAATCCTGAGTCTAATGAAAACGCAAATAAAGACTCAGGTCGGTTCTCTCAGACTAGGGACTTTTCCTAGCTGAGACAATCGTACTTGAGAAGTGGCTATTGTATCCTTGTCGTGTACCTTTCAGCTACTTTCCATACTCTACAATATGTTTGTATGGTATTTACGTTTGTATGGTATTTACTGCAACAAATCAGGTCCATATACTTGTCCCAATTTATGAGTGTTATTAATGCATGACTATACTTCAAGGTTGGCTCTTTAATTTTCGCTCGCGCGCAACTAACGTTATACTCTGTAAGGAGGCACTTTAGTATGTAAGCATGTTTGGATTGTATGATTATTTCTTCCGACTAACATCGGCATCACTTCTGTTTCCCTTACCGAGTACCCAGGATACACAACATACTATTCTAAATAATCACCGTAGTCTTTTCACATGGCATTATATATATCTTAAAAATAGTTTGGTACAGATTCAGGCGTGTGGGTATATCTTGTAGGGCGAGCGCAGGCTATTAGTACGAAAAAGGTTGCATTTAGATGTTGTAGTCTGCATCTGCAACAGCGTACTCATGCACACAAAGTCGCTATTGTTTTTTCCATTAATTCTCAGCGATCAAGAGTGGAAACGAGGCCAGGAGACGTCTTTCCATCATGGCCGAGGACAAATCGGACACAAATCACTTACTCTAGTTCATGGCGGATTCGACGACGCTTGTGATCGACACTTGTGATGGCGAAAGCGATGATGAAAATGAGGAGCCTGAGCCTTTTTTTCACAATCCTAGAACCGGCTGTCGCGATCTAGTACTCACCATTATGGTACCATGGGGGATGTCGATGCAAAACTTCAGAGCTATACAATTCAACCAAGACGCAGACGAGGCCACTATAGAGTACGAAACAGACAATGAATGGGCCAGTATAACTTCCCATCGACCTGCAAATTGTGTTAACGAAGCCTGGAGCGAAATATTTCACGCTCGTGTTTATGTGGATAATGAGATTGCGCGGAGTTCTATGGCCTTGGATGCCCCGATTTGGTGCTCCATGAAGGTTGATCTCCCTTCTGCTGTGTATACACGCCCGGAACACTATATGACTCAGGAAATGAAGAAGACTGGAGTTGTATATTCCGTTTCCTGGACTCTGAGGTAATCATCCCCTTCTGTGACATGATTCATGAAGCGTACACTGCCTTCCCTTTATTTCTCGCGGATGTAAGCAAGTAAGAGCTTTGGTAACTATACCAAGACATAACAGATTGTTCGAGTTTCTGTTTTCGGTAATAGATTTTTTTTTGTACTATGAAGGTATATCTTATTTGTACTCTGCATTGATTATAAGGTGTGCGTCACTTTGATGTGCGTGTCGATATTATGAGATTGCTGATCCTTATCCACGCTGACGAAAATAACACAAAAAACACATACAATGTTGAAAGCCTACCACCGAATATAGCAAACATTGCGGTGCTACCCGTTGTATTCCAATGAGTATAAGCTGTCCACGCAACACTATGGTTTCTTTCTCACTTATCTATGGAACTAAAGCGCGACTCAATACATGCAATGCTGATTAAGTTTAAATACAGTTGATATCGCTGTCCCGTACAGAAGTGCATGTTGCTGTATATATTCATAGTATTCGGGGCTTCATTTTTAGAGCTAATTAATGTGTGTACACCTAGACTGGTAGATACAGATCTTAGTGTACAAGTCGTAGTACAAATATATACAAGTGTGCATACTGTGGTAGATAGCTATTTTAGCACTATGCTTCATATAATCTCGTGCTTGCTTTATTGGCTATAAATGTTTAAAAGTTTAACCTTGCATAACAATGCCTATCACAAAGCGGTAAATTTACACATTTATCAGCTACGAGAAAAACAACCAGATCTTTCTGTACGAATGTTGTCGATATGAGTTGCTAGATGCGGAAGTTACATAAACAAACATAAAGCAGTAACATCACGTACACTAAAATGTATCACGTTCTGTTCACAGTTTGGGCTGGTTTTTGCGCGCGTGCCCATGTGTAGATTTATTAATTGGCACTATTGATCAATCACAGCATATTGGTGTGAAAAGTGCTACAGAATCATGCCCACTAAACCAGTCGAGCTTTGGTTGTGGCACCCTTGTACATAAAGCTCGAGGGGTGCGTATTTGCAAAACGCGCCAAAAGACGCCAGAACACGCCAAAACATGCATTGGGGTGGTGATTGTTTCAGTGTTAAATACAGCGAAATATGCATTTCCAGCATAAAAGCCATCATAGACTCCAACTAAACACTTTACACTTTAATACTGTCGGAGCAAAGTGTCGAGCTCAATTACATTTGGATTCTTCGTATATAAGGTACATATATGGGCAAGTCACCGTAAAACGACATTTTTCCGTGTTTTGAGTGTTTAATAGATTGCACCTGCGGCACATATATCAACTTGAGCTCCGATAAACTTGATAAAGGGGCTCTAAAGGAAAACCTCATTGGTTCATACTGCTCTCCACGGTCCATGAAATCACTCTGTATAAGGCAACTAAGGGCACGACTGGCGCGACTCATCACGGGTGATCTTGCTTCGGCATCCGCAATAATGATGAACCTTAAAAACCGTGAGGTACTGTGCGCAGTCAACTCCAAAGATGGCTTTTCGAAAACTTTCGTGAAATAAAGTCAAATCTTACTTTAATGTGCGTGTGCACATGTATGTGTAATGCCCTTGAATACATTTTGACTGAATTGTTGTAACTGTCGCCGTTTTAGTCGCTGCTCCTCCAATTCACACATATGAATATCTACGCACGGATGGATATCCACTATCACAGTGTTGGTTTCATACAAACACACACATATACGTGAGTACGAATGCTACAATACTGTGTATTCATAATCATTCAAATCAGTCCTATCGATATATGGACGCGTTGTAGAGCAGCAAAACACGCACATTCGCCTTACATTCTTTCATATGGTCATCCACGTTACGTTGTTTCGCATATAAGCTAGTTTAGTATGCACAACGAGGCTATGCAGATCGACCACTAGCTCAATGGTGTTCAGATAACACTTCAATTTTTGTACTGACCTGCACCGTACATGGTATCCGGTTGACTGCAGTTATGTATCCACAAGTACAATTTGTTTCTACAGTTGAACTAAAATGAGTTTGATATCGTTCTATAGAATTCTATTTACCTTTGTGCACACGCACTAGGTCAGTGTTTAGCTAACGTAGCACTATATCGCCGATGTGAATATCGCTCTCAATATTAAAATATACTATATAGTGTGTTATGGCATGTAATCACTCATGGGTGTACCTTTATGGTGAGCATACTTGCACACACAAGACGAAATAGTATGCGCGTGATAATTTTGAACGCCTTAATATTGAAAGTTGGAGTTGAGTATTTATTTAACTGAATGTATGTGATAAAATAATATGCAGTAAGCACAATGTCTCACTATATAATCATCTGCATCATGTACATATCGTGGTATATGTATACATTCTGAGTCTCCTCTGTTCAGGCCTGGGTGCCTCACTCATCAAATCATTGCTGCCGGGTGAGAGTCAACTTGAGCCTATCGGCCTTATCCACCTTCTTCACTGCATCTTTCATGAAGGTGAAAACCAGGCCGATTGGCTCTTTTTTAGTGTTCGAATGGTCTTTATGAATACATACTTCGCTAAAGTGGTTACTTTGAAGGGCAACTGAATCGCCACTCTAGCTCGCACAGACTCTGGACATCCCAAACTTTCGTGGTGTAGTTTTGCATTTACGAGCGTGAGGTGCCTTAACCGCAGCTTTCATCTCATTTCGTTGGGTATCTTCCTGCGCGACGTGATCTTTCAGCTCTTATGAATACGGAGGTGATCATGTGTGTGAAAGTAAAAGACGTCTCGCTGTGGCTATACTCCAGAGGGCTAAAATCATCCAGTTGTCTATGTGGCCATAAACTATATTCTTACTGCCACCATCCTATACTTCATAACCGGATATGTGGTCTCCACTAGCCTATAATTCAGAGCAAACTTTGTGTTCTTGAGCCATGTGTTCACAAACTCTCGCATGTTGGCCTCTTGTTTGCTTGATAAATTCTTTGCCAATTGCATATCAATAGCGGGTTGTTGCACGGTTTTACATGATTTTCAGGCTGCGACTGGTCTCTCTTCCGTCTGAAGCGATGTGTTGTCGTCATCATCATCGGTGTCCTTGTCAGTTGGTGCCTCTCGGGCCTCCTGAATATTATCTTGAAGACCCGTTCGTTCAAAGCGGCTGAGTAGACTTCCGTGACATAATCCTAATATCATTATGTTGAGTATTCTCGATATTTAGAGGATCAGAATGCGTGTATCAACAAAATATGACAGCATTCGCGATTATGCAATATTTACTTCGACGCACAAGTAGTGCAGTGCGGTGAGTGTGCGATGGTTGATGATAAAGGAACACTACTTAAATACGCGATTGGTGACGACTGAAGAGTTTAGCTGAATAGGTATCCAGTTAAAACGTACACAAAAGTGTGCCCGTTCGATGTCGCGTGTTTCACAACTATAAATATCTCCCTTAATAATGTCGTGTCGTGTGACTTATATCCAATTCACATACTCACAGTGGCCTATCATAGAAATCAGTCAAATACCAACTGATGACTATTTTTCAAATCAGCGGTCGGGGCGCGGTAGTTTGAACCAATTAAATTTGAGATCATAACAGTTGGGTGTCATCAATTTATTTAATCCGAATTCGACCAAACCTGAAACCTCATTGCATCAATCTCGAGAGAGATATGTACATCTACTGTATCTCCAGATAAATAGCTTTGTAAACGCTACATATAACACATTTTCATCAGAGCATAGAATTGTGTACACAAACTCTGTGACTCTCTTTTACATTATCTACCATTCTATTTGAACTATGATGTCTGTGGCCATCATCCGACAAGCAGATCTCAGCTACATAAATTGTAGAAGTGTCAATGATCGTCTATTTAGTAGAACGTTCAAGGCAATGTTTGGCGCCTCTGCACTCGTAGTCACGATCATATACAACGAGCTGACAACACAACTTAACACACGTGCCACACCAACACATTTGTTGATGGCTATGCACTTTTTAGCATGCTACCCAAAGGACGATGTTGGCGCAGTAATCTTCGGGGTAGCCACAAAGACTTATAATGAATGGCATTGGTACGTCACCGAGCAGATTACCGAGCTGACCGGAATAGTATGCGAGTGTCAAGATGATATAAATGTGTGCGAAATGATATACACCGACGATGTAAATCCATATGTAATGATTTAGTTGAATTTCTGCTATGGACAATTGTTGTGACATATACCATATATTAATCTGCATGGCGGCCCACTAATATTTACGTGTTGTACGGAGTAACAATCGATTATTAAAATTCGATATTATCATGTTCGTGTATACGACAGCATGCACAACTCAAATAAGTTCGGTTGACAAGATTCAATCTATTAAATCTTCTTGCGAGTTGCGATAGGGTTGAATATTTACACCTCAACTCGATGTAGGTTAAAGCTACACGCAAAATGCATGGAAAATGATGTATTAACGAATAGGTTCGGTGTAAACCCTATCATACTACTATACGGTTTTTACATTATTACATTTCATCATTTTAGCCGATGATTTTTAGTATGCCAGCATGCAAATTTCTAGGTGCACATAGGAGGCAAGCTTTATGTACAAATCTATAAATATATAGAGCACTGTTGTAACCGTTGCATGCGTTCAAACACGTCGAATACATATCGGTTGGGAAAAAGGGAAGGCATATCTATGACCCGGTGACATGGCGAATACTTTTGCTACGGTTGACGTGATCGATTGCAATGTTACCGAAGCTCATCCGTTTCAGGCATCCCTGGTGTCTCATAAAACGAGACAAGTCACCTAAAAATACGAATTGGTAATTCCAATCCGTGATGTTGATATTTGCTTTGTCAACGGCGAGCCCGACACGAAACAGCTAACGCCAGACTGCGCAGTTTCCAAATACTTAAGAACACATTCCGCGCCTACAGGTTGAAGTATTCAAAACGTTTCATGGCCGTTGCAATTATCGTGCAACTGTCTATTCGCCACGGGAATCCTTTGTTTGAGTGAGCGTTGATCTCGGACCAACAGCGCAATCTTGACACAATTTCGAAGTTAGACAATACTATGCAGTACTACACGAGCTGTGGTATGTGTACATTGTTGTATTCTCGTACCCTGATTCATTAATATCATGCATACGTGTTATGCATACTCTATTCTTCTACATTCGACTATATCGTACGAGCAGACCCATACGTGTTGCCATCGGAGAGATGCTTACAACACACACGCAGCCTCCTTACGGCCAAGAGCGGTTGACGAAAACACATACAGATATCCCAGGCATTCATATAAAGGTATAGTGCACCCATCCATTGAGTCTGGATGACACACGTAATATTGACTAATAAAATGTTGGTCTGGTCTTGAAAATTTTATACTTGGTTTGGGAGACTCAGAGAGGGTAGTTTTGATCCCTCTTTTTTTGTTTGTTTTGAATTTACGGCTCGCTCCTGTCAATATACGGATCATCCCGGTCCTCTATAGTTGTCTCCATGGACGGTGGGGGGTGGGAGTGGTTGTAGTAACACTGTAACAGTAATGGCATGTACCAGAACCTGGACATTGAGGACCGAATGCCTTGCACCGGCCGATAGGAGAAAAGGACTGATATTTAATTTAGGACAGACAAACATATGGATAAATACTCTTGTGTGTGAATAAGGACCATGGACTAGCTAATCGCGAAGACTGCCGGACAATATCCGAACCTTTTGTACAATAGTCAGTAGATCTGACAGAGTATATAGCTTAGTTAATTGACAGCAAACTATATACGTATACGGTCTGCTACAAAATACAACTGTATTTATATTTATTACATGAACTATACGACGGATTAATATTCATATCTTTTCTTCTTCAAAATTCATATATTATAAATTAATACTGTTACTACAAAATACCATCTCTGTTAACTCAGTTGGTTAGAGTGCGGACCTAATAAGTCCGAAGTCACCAGTTCGAGCCTGGTACGGAGAACTTTCCACCTTTTTCCACTTTTATTTATTAAATAGCATTGTTTGCATTTATCTCGCACAGTCAATCAAGCGAGCCAATTTTTGCACATCGGTATCAAGCACTACATATAAATGTACTGCCTACAAAATACAAGCTTGATGTATATACATGCCTCCTGCAAGCCAAAAATTGTTGCTATACATACCTTTCCATCAAGCATAACATGAAGGTACAGGGATAAATTGATATAGGCATGCCTCTGCAAATCAACAAGTATGTTCCTATGCCTGAACAGAATCACCAATGCACTATAAATAGCTTGAGATAGTGCAAATATATTATTATCGCTACCTCAAAGTGCCAATAAAAACCTCCTACCACTTTATTTTTCTATATGCAACCGTAAACACATCTTTACTTACGCATAGAATGGGCACCGTTATGCAGGCCACTTCACCCATCCTGCTCGATCTGTCTCACATAGACGCCGGCACCTTGGTATCGCAGCTTCATGCATACACTACGAAGATAGCCTAGCAATCGCACAAAATATGTAAATCTGCATCCATGCCCAGTATTCGAGTTGGTATAGTTTACTAAGATTCCTTAAAGCTACTAGACACTGTCCTTCTTATCCGATGCGTCCTTGCCGTCCTCTTTCTTATCACTAGGTGGGCGCTTGTACAGAATCTCATCAATGAGACCATACTCTTTGGCCTCCTGAGCCGACATGAACGTGTCTCTGTCCAGCGATTTCTCTGCATAGAAGTATATCATAGAGTGCAGCTTAGTATACAATAGGCAAAATACAACACTTAAGTAGACCGGTTAGTACATGACTTGTTGAGGACCAGGAATCACTGCACACTGAACCAACACAGGCAGATAGAATGGGCGCTGAGCTCTTGGATCTAGCCGATACTTTGCCAGCAATGTGATCGACGGTCACTCGACAGAACAAGATGCATATAAACAACAGATTACCACTACATAGTCGCGAGTATGATTCAGACAATGGGTGTCTGTTAAGCACTACAGTAGGGGGTTTGATATCACAATGGAATGATGGACATTAACAGACACTCTACAGAAAGGTGATATGCTCCCCGAGCGACACTTGCCCACTCTTGCTGCCACCACCGATGGGGGCTTTTTATATATTAGAAATATGGCAAGGTAAACCGTATGTGAGAGAGTAACTCTACCATAGATATGATAGGTGCATGAAAAATCCCAGGCAAAGCAAACAGGAAGTATGTATTACGGATATCGGATATCATTCAATTGCCAATACATCAACTGTACATATACGCACAATAGAGATACCGGATAGGCCAGATTCATTTATACTAGTGTATGTAACAGTTAAAATTCGATACCATATAGGAAAATTGCATCATATCATACGAAGACAGTTCGAACAAAACGTGAAGCTTCGGAAAGCGCACAAAATAGTGTAGTAACCAAAACCGCGAGGACGAGGTGTACTAAACACAGGCACACAACACGTTCAAGTCCCAATTAGCATCACACACAGACACAGAGCATGGCTAAAGCCCATTAGAACACTCAGGACAATCAACAGCGATAAGTACAAGGAAGGCACCCTAACTGCATAGAACGCACCAATTCTCTCGAGGGTTTGGCCTGTGTGTTTGACGTAGATGTCGTTGAGTGTCGAGCGGATCTTCAGGATTTCTCTGGCCTGGATCTCAATGTCCGCCGCTTGGCCCTGAAGAAGGAAGAAGAGGTACGGCGATGTCAGATGTGGTTGCAATGCGAGTGCGTGTATATGCAGTTGCTGGTGGGGGTATGTATGTGCACACTTGAATGCGCAATGTATATCCACAAGTGAGGACTGAACTGGAACTGTGTTATATACTTGTCTCGCTCTGGGTGAACGAAACAGCCATGTGTGTGGATGAATATACTGGTGTAGTTTTATGTGGATGTATATACGGGTGTAGTTTTATGTGGATGAATATACGGGTGTTGGTTTATGTGGATGAATATTTATATATATATACATATATATATATATGCCTGGGGTTGCGAACGCATTGGGATATGTATACAGAACGTATCGGATAATCTCTGCATGGTGATAATATATACGTGCGCAGAGACAGGCTATCGACAGATAGCCGGTGGGAGTTCACTGTGGCTATATCACATCCCGTAATATACCGAACTTCACCTTGCTGCAGCTGGACTTGTTGCCCTCGCGTACATCAGAGGTGTGAGTGGGGTGGACTACGCAACATATGATATGATAAGGGAAAAGTGCGCCTACATTTCGACATCTTTTGATACAGATGTACCGTTGAAATAGGACCCTCCATCCGATCCGAAGTTCGAAAGGTTTTCTAGAGCACTGCTCTAAACTATAGATATACATTGCAAAAAAAAGAAAGAAGAACAAGATACACAGTTGCAACGATTGTATTCCGTGTTATTTATACACACACACACACGCACATGTACACGCACATGTACACGCATATATATATATATATATATATATATATAAGTTGCATATGTTGTGACACTGCACATACCGAAGCACCTCCACTAGGCTGATGAACCATCACTCGTGAGTAAGGGAGCGCATATCGTTGACCCTTCTCGCCTGCAGTTAATAGTAGTGATCCCATACTGCAAGCCTGGCCTATGCACACCGTGGACACGGGAGCTTGGATGTACTATATAGAAAACAAATGCTATGTACAATGAGTAAGAGGAGCGATGCACAACAGAGTGACTATGTGTTGATCTGCTGCACAAAAACAGTCCATAAGGCTCTCATTTCGAAAGAGCAGGATTTGGGGATAAATATCAACAAGGCTTTCTAGTAGACCCGAATCTACAAATCATAGTCACAACGGCACGCCAACACTCGGAACCGTTAGAGGTGTACAAGTAGCTGTACGTGTACATATCTTGATATATATATATAAATATATAAATACACAAATATATAAATAAACAAATATATAAATACACACACACACACGTATATATATACATACATATTATTTATACACACACATATATACATACATACATATTATATACACACACACACATATATATATATATACATAAATATAAGACATAAGTTAAGATCAACAGTGTACACCCGGACATGCTCATTCGACAACACACAGCGCAGAAACCGACACACACACACACAGATAACTTTATACTAACGCAGTCAGGGAGGAATTGTGACAAACTACGAACAACCATGCCCAAGCTCAATAGCCACATACAATCACAGATACACACACACTTGTATGGCATACAATCACACACACACACCTACATAGTATACAAACACACACACATACACCTACATAGTATACAAACACACACATACACACCTGCATAGTATACAATCACACGCACACACACCTGCATAGTATACAATCACACACACACACCTGCATACTATACAATCACACACACACACCTGCATAATACACACACACACACACATACACCTACATAGTATACAATCACACACACATACACCTACATAGTATACAATCACACACACACACCTGCATAGTATACAATTACACACACACACATCTGCATAGTATACAATCACACACACACACACATACATAGTATACAATCACACGCACACACCTGCATACTATACAATTACACACACACACCTGCATAATATACAAACACACACACACACACCTACATAGTATACAAACACACACACACACATACACCTACATAGTATACAAACACACACATACACACCTAAAATAATATAAAATCACACGCACACACACCTGCATAGTATACAATCACATACACACACACCTGCATTGTATCATAGATCCCCATGCCTGCGGTCACGGCACCTCCTGGACTGTTGATGTACATACTGATGGGTTTGGTGGGGTCGACTGACTCGAGAAACAACAGCTGAGCAACTATAATAGAGGCCACATAGTCGTTTACCTGTTTGTCAATGTGTGGCATGAAGCATGCGCATGAGCTGTGTAGGACTGTTGATGTGCATAGTGACGGTACATTACGCTGCATGGAGATGAGCGTTATAAACACAAGGGGTGAGTGGACTCATGCTTGTGCACTCTGCCACGTGTTCTCAGACATGCCACTACAAAACGCTACAATACAATACATAGTATTACACGACACTACACTGCAACACAATGCAATACATAGTATTACACGACACTACACTCCACTATATTTCACTACCTAGGAGATGAGCGCTATAAACACAAGGGGTGAGTGGACTCATGCTTGTGCACTCTTGCCACGCGTTCTCAGACATACCGGTGTCATGAGACAGACGATACGCTCTCTCAACAGACGCGAGAAGATGTCCTGATAGCGTTCGCCCCGGGGCTGGTGGACCGGGAATTAGAACAAGGTGATAGAAGGCAGGATGAGATTGTGCGTAAATATAGGATGAAGGTATGTATATGTGATGGTCTATAATCGGGAAAACTTTGGTCTATACTGGCCTTGAGGCAGGTGGCCAGCAGAGACAGGCAGAAGAGAGAGGCTCAATTGTACGAGAACACATTAATAGGAAATGAAGGTGTCCATTTCAAACGAACAGATGTATTTCGTATATATATACTTAAACATAAACATATATATATATATATGTACATATATATAGATATAGAAAAACATATATACTAATACAAAAGTTTATATAAATATATATCGATATGAATATATCTATAAATGAAAATAGATACATTCGATGCAAAGATACATAGATACGGATATAGATATAAAGACATATATATATATATATGCAAAGATACATAGATACGGATATAAATATAAAGTCATATATATATATACATATATATATATATATATATATATATATATATATATATATATATATATATATATAATATCTATATCTATATATACAGTACACGTATATACATCTACATATACATGCATACATACGTATATATATATATATATATATAAATATATATATATATATGTGTGTGTACACTTAAGCATACGTGTGTGTGTGTACACTCATGCACACGTGTGTGTGAGAGTGAGTATGTATATACACGTACCGTAGAGTCGATGACCATAGGAATAACATTCGCAGATACATCGCCCGGGCCTGCTCCATAGTTCATAGAAGGCTGCTGTGTGTATCCACCTCCCAGCATGTCTTTGCCGAAAGGCATGCCACCATTGCTATTCCCTGTATTAGAAAAGTCGTGAAACGATCTTCGAGTGGTCGTGATCGATGTTGCCCTGATATGATTGTATGCAGAGATACCACATCCAACCCTGGCTAAGGCACTACGCATTGCTGTTAGAGACATAGTAATACGATGTAATTGTACAAGTGAAGTGCACAGCGCTTGACCAGAAAACAGACTATAGCTTGGTTTTACTAGATGTACAATTAAAAATACGTATACTAAGAATTGTATGTATTTATATGAAGTCAGCGTTCTCATGCGCTCTCTTTTTGTTGATTATTTACATTACGAAATATATTTTGATTTCGGCTTAAAACTTTCCTAATTTGCCACTAACACTACGTCAACTCGTTGGCACCAATGCCGTTAACGTTGAACGTATATGCTGCGCTGAGCGCATTCGAAAAATAATTTAGTTTTACACCCATGACCCAGCCTGGCCCCAACCTCCAACCTCCAGGTCCAAGAGTTATAGTTGAAATCCCAAATCCCGATGGTATCATGATTAATGACCCTCTCTACTAAACATACAAGGTAAAATTAAATACAGTGGTTCATTTTCGTAGGGGTCAGAATTTTTTTCCGACCTTTAGCGACATACACATTGGTGCTATAAGTAATATAACGTTTCGATTGATACTAAAACACTAAAAACCGGTTGATATCAATTACCTCCACTTTAATCGTCAGTATATAAATATTTCGGGCCATACCGTTATAGCAACATCCACGCTTATATCAGGAAAATACATACTATAAATTATCTCAATCAGAAGCACACAGGTTGTTATGCATTCGGCTACCACCATGTCTAATGCCCCTAAACGCAGGTACAAAAAGTTAGATGTTGATAAGAAGAAGAGATCAGGGCTAGTGGTTGGAGTTTTGATAGAGACGCAGTTACAAACATGAAGTTCGCGATGGTGAAGGAGGCTGTGAAATCAGCAGGGAGAGCATATGATATACATACTAGCATTTTGCCACGCACAAAACTGTGCATATGGTTCAATAGAACTGTGATCATAAATTCATATCAATTTTCGGACTGTGTTGTATACATTATGTGTACATAATAATACAGGCGTTCCCAAGTCCAATGATCGCTGCTCAAAGTCAGTGCATTTCCCCCTATAATATGGTCGGATAGGCCAAGAACCTCTCGGCCAATCAGATGGCGTTATAGATGTCAACTCTGTAGATGTTAACTTCTTTTCCAGGAACGGTCTGTGACAAGTTGCGAGGGCCCACTGTAGTATTGTTCAAGGTATAGAGTAACTATGTAGTAGGGAGAATTTACCACAACATAACGAACTAAAAGTCCGTACACAGGACTATGTGGTATTTTTAATTTTGCAGTGTATGTCCCTAGCATAAATATTTCGTTCTGTTAAAAAAATCGTTGCTAACACTTTTCATTTTGAGAGGGTCCCAGCCCCCAGGGCCCAGGCCCAAAGCCCCCAGGGCCCAGGCCCAAAGCCCCAAGGCCCAGTCACAGTGTAACTATTTATATAAACGTTCAATTTGACGCGAGAATGATGTCAGTTATTTAGAAATATTCAACGAGAAACGGAAACGAACTGTGAGGCCCGATTTGTCCGAGTGGCCGACCTTAGCCTTCTCAATTATACAGGCCGACAGTGAGGGACCAGTCTCCGCTGAGGTGACCCAAAGCGAAGAAGTATTTGGCGAAGCTTATCCAAAAAATCGGGATTGATCGATGTAAATATTTCAATATTTGTATTCCTTTGTTTAAAAAAGCAATACGTACCAAAAAGAGTAGCCAAAAATGCCACAGATATTGAAATAACAAATGAACAATGTTAAAGAAATTTGCTGATTCCTGCTTGATTGCAGAAGACTATACTGTATGTGTTATCAATTCTTTGATATTAAATATGTGATTCCAGATTGTATAGCATAGCGCCTTCTCTAGAATACAGAAGAAGGGGAAGGCTATGGTTGATGATTAGCGTGATAGAGTCTCTCGTCACTTCATCAGCGATTTTAGTGCGTTACGCACATGTACTTAACATTATATTTATGTGATGCAATACAATTATGTGTTTGTCTGAATCGCGACCACAGTGGTGAGGTTGGACGTTCAACTGGTCAATCTGTCCTATCCAATGCTTGCGACCTGTCCAACTGGTTTCTTGTGCCCAAAAAATGGGACTGCATAATTCCCTCATTATGAAATATTTAAACAGACAGGAAGGATCCATGGTTATTGTGGACGCTGAATACCTCCCTACATGCGCAAGGAAATGCAAAAACGATATACGACCGACACTGACGGGTATATATATATATATATATATATATATATTGTTAGTAGTATAATTAGATCATGAACGATTTAGAATGAAATAGCTGTATACTTTTTATCATCAAAGTAATGCATTAGCTTACGAGATTATGAAGACCGATCATCTCATATTGTTAGCTTATATACCCATAATCAGTGGTTATGTCTACCATCCGTCCCCTCTGGGTACTGACGCAGAGTACTTGTGTCCGCCAGGTCCCCGTCTACTCTGCAGACCGTCGCTGGCAAACTACTGTTTTTTACTCCTTTTACGACCAACGCCATCACTCGGTTTATGTTCAGGCACGAATAATTGAATAACTGGTATACATGCAACCTATGTCACATGGCACACAGAACTGACATTCCGTTTTAGACATGGCACACAGAACTGACATTCCGTTCCAAATCTAACCCGTCGTACATCCGAGCACACATTGCTCACACTCGGAGCCCTACATGGCTCAACAGTACACGTGAACTACACACATGTTACAATATATATATATATATATATATATATATACATATATATAATAATAATAGTAATATTATATATATATATAATAATAATAACAACAGACACACAGAACAGTATATATAATATA